TTTAACAAGTTAAATAAACGCAGGGAAGACAATAGAAACTTCACTTTTATTTCTCAACATGTAAAACCAAGTGACATGACTACAATCATCGACAATCGTAAGAAAATATCTGTATCCCTCTACAGAATCAACCAAAAAAGGTTCCCATACATCAACGTGAACAAGATCAAATGGAGACACAAGCAATTATTATGAGATACGAAAGGTAATCTCTTTTGTTTCACTAAAGGACAAACATCACAATGTGTAACACTAGACTTAAACATAGGTAAAGAACCTGAAATGTGTTCTAACTTGTGAGAAGATGGGTGTCTAAGGTGTTGATGCCAAGTGTGTCCATCCACTAACAAGAATCCACAGAAGTTGATAAAGGAAGAAATGACATCAGTCTTTAGAATGTAAAGACCAGGTGTAATATTTCCTCTACCAATCATCAAGGCCTGAATATGGTCCTAGAGATAGCATGAATCAGTATATAATTGAGCTGAGCAATTATTATCACGCAACAATAAACTAACATTGAGCAAATTGAACCGAAATGCAGAAACCTAAAGAACATCATGCAGAATGAGATGTGCAGAAATCTGTATGGTGCCAGTAAACTGAATGGAAACACTAGTGCAATTAGGAAGTGAGATTGTGACTCCAATAACAGGAAAAACTTCACTAAACATAGACAAGTCTGAACATACATGGTTAGTGATTCCACTGTCAATTATCCAAGCATCATAAGGTAAAACAGAATATAATGTGGAGAAGCAGTGATGTTGGAAAGTAAAGGAATGGTTTTCATATCGTATGTTAGATGAGGGAAATACTATTGAGACAGTACCCGAAGTAGATGTGGCAGCCATGACTCCATTTTCAGTAATAGTAGCCGTAGGTGCAGGAGTTGAATTATGTGGAATCCTCGGACATGAGCACTAAGTTGATGGATCAAAGATTGAACCTGATCTGAAGTAAATCGACTAAGATCAAGATTAGTGGTGAGTGGAGCTGAAGCAGTAACCGCATTTGCCATCGCAGGAGGATAGGTATTCTGTTGAAACTGAGATTGTGGTGGGAAAGACCGAGGACTAGATTGAATAGGGCCACGCGATTGAAAGGATTGCTGACAAGGAGGCTTCAAAGACATCTTCTGTCCCGGAGGATATCCATGCAGCTTGTAACATTTCTGTACGGTGTGACCAGTCTTGCCATAGTGAGTGCAAAGAGGTCTCTGTTGTTGCTGTTTGTAAGCTACTGCATAAGCCGCATTGTCAGTAGAACCAGGGTATCCTCCATTAGTAGTCTCTATGGAAGTTTGAAAAGCAACATTGTCCAACTTAATAGAAGGCTTAATACATTTATGTCTTTCATCTTGTGCCACCATATTGAAAACATCTTCTATGGAAGGAATGGGCTTGAGCATCAGAATATGTCAACGTGTTGACTCATAAACCTCATTCAGTCCCTTCAAGAACTTAGTAACACGGCTTCATTGTTGAAGTGTTTCCCAGAGAACTGCTGCATTGCACTTGCATTTACCACATATACAGACCGGAAGCTCAACATAATTCTTGTACTCTTCCCACAGAGTAACAAGTTTAGTATAATAAGTGCTAACATCCATCGCACCTTACATAATCGAGTTTAACTGTTGATCTATTTCATAAATTCTAGGAGCATCATCTTTCTTAAACCTAGACATAAGATTCTTCCAAATCGCCTCAGCAGTTGGCATAAAGAGCAAACTCTGACCTATCTTCTTGGATACAGAATTCATAAGCCAAGTTGCTACCATATTATTACACCTAGACCAATTTCTAGCATGACGATGATCCGGAGAGGGTTTAGGAATAGTATTATCAATGAAACCCAACTTGTTTCAAATATTGAGGGCCATACGTATAAAATGACGTCAAGAATGGAATTTGGAGCCGGAAGTGAGACGATCAGAGACGAGAACCAGTCCAGCATGATATGATGTGTGGAGAAAGTAAAAATTCTCATATTGGTCAAGAGATTGCGCTTGAGAAGCAGTATTCGCAGAATTCGCAGAATTGGGTGGTTGCGGAGCCATTTCTGGTGTAGAAACTAAGCACAGCAAGGAAAATCAGATCCATTTAAGGCAAAAAAGTAAGAGACGACTGTAATCTTAGATCGAAGAAAGAAGAAAAATCGAAAGCAAGAAAGCAAAAAGGAGTTGCAAAAGAAATTCAATAGCTGTGAAAATCAATCGAACAATGAAATCAGAAACCAGCTGAGAAATCGAAGCACTCATAGCTGAAGAATCAAAATCGACTTCATGAAGATTGAAGAAAATTGAACGAGAAACAATGGCGGAAGCTTGAATTATCTCTCTGATACCATATTAACTGGAAAGAATCATTATTTCTCATTAATGATCTAAGGGCATCTCCATCGCTGATCCCCTTAGTGGGGTTCATAAGTGTATTTTAATAAAAAAAAATTTGTTTGGAACAGTGATAAACTTCTACCTAAAATCGACCTCCAACCCTGAACCCGTATTTGAGGTTCATCCGATTAAAATATTATTTTAATTTTTTTAAAAAAATTTGTTTTATTTATAAAAATATTTAAACAAAAAAATTACATTATAAAGCAATTTATATTACATGGGTTTAGAATTTAAATCACAAATAATTCAAATTTTGAAAAAAAACATAGAAAATATAAATATAGAAAACAGTACACATTTAATTATAAAGTGGGTTTGTTCCAAATTTACGCCATATGTGTTCAACCAAATCAGCCTTCAATCGGTCATGAATTTGTTTGTCACGAACTTCGTTTCGAATGTCGATCATATTGCTAATATTTGTGGACATATCTGTTGATTACGTCATATCGACTTGTGACGCTCTGCTTCCTTCTCCCTGTTCAAATTCTGATAGATTGTATTGAGTGTTGAATGCTCGTTCGTCTTCTACTATCATATTGTGTAATATGATACATGCTCGCATGATATTTCCTATTTTTTCCTTATCCCAAATAAGAGCTGGATTTTTAACAATGGCAAACCTGGCTTGCAAGACTCCGAAAGCCCTTTTGACAATTTTTCGTACACTTTCTTGGCATCTCGCAAATGTCTTGTCTTTTTCAGCTTGTGGAAGTGGAATTGATTGGATAAAAGTTTCCCAATTTGGATAAATACTGTCGGTTAGGTAATATGCCAACTTGTGCTGGTGTCCGTTGACATAGTATCTGACTTTTGGAGCTCGGCCTTGTAATATATCATCAGAAAGAGGTGAACAATCAAGAAAATTGATATCGTTTAAAGTACCTGGAGGTCCAAAAAATGCATGCCAAAACCACAGATCGTGTGATGCTACAGCCTCTAACACAATTGTTGGTTTCCCTGAACCCCGTGTATATTGTCCTTTCCAAGCTGTTGGGAAATTTTTCCTCTCCCAATGCATATAATCAATACTTCCTATCATCTCGGGAAACTCCTGTATTTCTCCAACAACGAGTAGGCATTGCAGATCTTCTGGTGTAGGTCTTCTTAGGTATTCATCCCCGAACAGAGATATTATTCTTTCGGTGAAATGTTCCAAGCATTTAATTGCCGTACTTTCACCAAGTCGGAGGTATTCGTCAACTGCGTCAGCCGCACTTCCATATGCCAAAATACGGATTGCTGCAGTACATTTTTGTAATCCAGATAGGCTAAGCCTTCCAACAGCATCTCTCCTTTGTTAAAAATATGGCACTTCATTGGATAGTCATTCTACAATGTGCATGAACAATGTCTTGTTCATTCTAAAACGACGGCAAAATATATGGGAAGGATATGTAGCGTCTTCAGCAAAGTAGTCGTTCCATAATTGGTCGTGACCTAGTTCGTGTTGTCTTTCAATATATGCCCTCTTCTTCTTCTTGGGTTTAGAAACGGCTTGTCGCTTAAGTAAAGTGTTGAAGCATTGTCAAATTTTTGATCAAACAAGTCATCAAAAATTTCATCAAAACTCTCATCAAGACCATCATTGAAACCATCACTAAAAGGATTATTGAAAACTTTATTAGAAGAAGAAGCCATGAAAAATTATAAAAGAGGGTTTGGGTTTAGAAAAAAGGTGAATGAGGGAACTTTGTTTTGATAAGGAGGCAGACGGTTGATGTTTAACAGAAGATATGGAGAGTGATAATAATTTTATGCAAAGAACTTTCTATATATAGATGTACATGTGGTTTATAATCATTTACACAATTTTGTGGATACAAAACATCTCTCAAAATAAATGGCTGGCGAGCACTTGAACTATATGGTTTACAAGATTACAATGCATACATTCAAAACTTGTGGCGTACATCATTTGAACCAACTCTTATAGGAACCCTCTTCCATCAACTTGTGCCTGACTTGTCTCCACAACCTGTACTACAATAGAAAACAAAAGTTATAGGACCCATATTCTCTCAACATATAAAACATATCCATTTGGAAAAAAAGATATTGCCGATTAACATATATAACAAAAACAGCCATTAAGACATAAAAAATAGCCGATTAAAATTAAAGACTTCAAACATCCATTAAGACATAATACATAGTAGTTCAGAATAGAGAAAACATAAACATAAAAATATAGAAGTACACAAAATAGAATATATAAAACACTAAGACAAGATTTCACTAATGAGTTTTTCCCTAAGAGTTTTTTCACCCTCTGATAGTGTATCTCCTTTTGTGAGCAAATGCTCAAGCATTCTCTGCTTCGAGAGCTTATTTTTGTGTACTAAATCCTGTTTTTTTTTTTCCCACATGTTGGTAAAGTCGACCATTTCCTCTTGAACTCCCTGCACCGTCCTTTAACCCTTGGCTATCTTGGCTGTCTTCACACCAGGGGGCCGAACCTGTGATGACTCCTCTCCTTGACTTCCTGATTGTGCTGAATCTGGCTGAGCTGAGTAACCATCTCCTTTTTTCTGTTTTTTAGGTCAGCATCTTTTACAGCCGAGAAAGAGCACCACTTTTGGTCCTGCCTGAGTTCTCTCTAGGCATGCTCAAGGCCATACTTAAACCTGTGATCATTGAAGATTTGATGAGCATTCTTCATCACGTCGTTTTCGTTTTGGCCACTGCTTTGCTCTTTCAATGCTGCTTCATACCTCTCTACAAACTTACATGTTTGATCATTAATTCGGCCCCAACGCTGCTTGCAGTGACTTAAAGTCCTGTTTTGAAAACTAGCTAAGAGTGGACTCGAGTTGAAGTAGTTTGTTATGCGGCTCCAGAATGCTCCTGCTCTTTGATCATTACCGACGATAGGATCTTTGCTGGTATTCCACCAAGCAGAGATCAGAACAACGTCTTCAGTAGGATGCCACTTCCTTCTTGATGTGCGATCCTCAGACGGTACACTTCTATCTTTACTCTGCTGTGTGCTAAACATTGGAACTTGTGATGATGCAAGCTCTATACTCGGTGAGAAGGAGAAAGAGTTTTCCTCTTGGCTATTTAAGAGGTTTATAAAACTCTGGGAGTTACCATATAGGTTTGGTGAATCCATAGGATGGTAAGAGAAGAAAGAAGCTTAGAAAAGTATGAACGGGTAAGAGAAGGAAAGAAGTTTACAATATTTAGAACGGATAAGAGAAGGAAAAGGGGTTTAAGAGTTTAAGAGTTTACGAAAGAAAAGGGGTTTAAGAGTTTAAGAGTGAACGAGAGAAGGGTTTCACCAATGGAGACATTATATAAGGTTTAAGTGATTCTTGATTTTACGTGTTAAAGTTTTGTTTTTTGTGTTTTAAGTGTTGTAAAAGTTTTATTATTTTAGGTGTTAAAAGTTCTTTTGCAATGAATGAATACAGGCGCATTAACTCTTCAACTAAACAGATGTGAGTTTTGACAAGATTGACTTTAACTTTCAACCTAACAACTATTTACCCTAACCTAAACCAGCAAGCTTGACAAGAAAAACCAATACTAACCACCTAACTAGTTTAAATGCAAAAACTAAAACACTGACCTTGTTAAAACGCATGAGTGCAACCTCGTTAGGCGCCAACTATAAAGTTCATTCAACCAGTTAGTTTTCGTCAAAGGTACCTGCAAAAAAAAACAAGTCATCAGTAACCAAATACAAACAGAACAAAATATTAAACAAAGGAGAGAAAAAGGATAATTACCTTTCTATGCTTGCCTGCCTCCTACGCCGAACCTGTCAAGGTTAAACACAGAAAAACGAAAGCAAAAACAAAGCCATATACAAAGCAATAACCAAACAAAGGAAATACATAGATGACATAAGTTCAGGGTCTTAACAGGAGATGTCTTGATAATAAAAAGAACACAACACATAGCCAACAACAGCCAATAACCGCTTAAACACATAACGGCTCATAGCAACTAAGACAACATGTAGGAGATTGCCGCAGTTACACTAAAAAAACAAAGTAGCAGAGAGTTTTCACCTTGGTTAGCGATCTGCTGCTTCAGGTTTGAAACTTCACCGTGCAGCATCCTTAGCTCCTCATATATTTCAGCTTGGTTAGTCATCTGCTGCTTCAGGTCTGAAACTTCACCGTGCAGCACCTTTAGCTCCTCACGTATTTCAGCTTGGGTAGCCATCTCGCTCAAGTAAAGGTTGGAAACTTCATCGTGGAGCTCCCTTAGCTCCTCCCATATTCCTCCAATGCTCTGTTTCGGAAGTCTTTGCAGCCCAAGCATGTCCTCCTTTTGGGCTCGAATCCTGATTTCCAACCTACAGATCTGCTCTTCCACAGCCTTTTCCCACCACTTAAAGATATGTTCTGGTGTCTTCAATCTTATATAAATTACACAAAATAACTAAGGCATGTAAGGTATTCATCATATGTCGTATACCCAGTCAGGACACACACAGAATTTGCGGCCATTAGTGCCCGTCTCTGCAGCTTTGGAGACGCATTTAACCTTCAGCTATTTTCTGCAGAAGCATTTCTCCAGTATGCCGTAGTTGGCATCAGCGTAGGCCCAACGCAAGTCTTCAATGGGTTCATCATCAGAGGAAGGCTCACTGTAGCTTATCGGCATGATCTGCACATCAGTTAAGGCATTATCAGTGATCCATAACGACGCTACACAAGGCCTAGGCATACGGGTCCGCGGGTCGGGTTCGGATCGGGTCCACGGTTTTCGGGTCCCGAAATATTGATCTGATTAAACCCGTTTTGGAACCGAAAATTTTTCGGTTCGGTTCGGTTCGGGTCTTCTCGGGTTCGGGTCGGGTTTAGAGATTAAATCAAAACCCGATACAGAACCAAAAAAAAATTCCAATTGATTCGGTTCGGTTTTAGACCCGAAAAACCCGAATAAACCGAGATAACCGAAAAATTCATGAATAATTAAATCCTAAACCGAATTAAACCAAAAATAACCAACAAATCCAAACAAATTCAAATGCCAAACGTAAAAAACGAACACAAACATTCTGACTCTCTTTTTTAATTTCCACCCAAGCTAGATGTTCCTTGCAGATTGTGAGATGTTTATTCAAGCTAGTTGTCCCATTAGTACTCGCACAAGCAAAGCTTTTACCACAGTAGTTACACAAGCATACATATGCATCCTCTTTTGTTCTTGTGAAGTGCTCCCATACAGGTGATCTTGTGCTAAACACTTTCTTCTTAGCCTTTTCCTTTGGCTTAGACTTAGCCTTCGGTGAAGTAGATGTAGGAACTTCTTTCCTCTTCCTCTTGTTTCCACTTGCAGGAGCACTCCCAATATCATCTGCAACTTCATCTTCCAGGTCGTCATTGTCATTCAAGTGAGGTGGTGATGAAGAATCCATCTGCAAAGTGATGGAAAACAAGCAAACAAAACAACAATTCAACAAAGATGAACAAATCGAAAATCATCAGCAAATATCAATATATCACACAGAGTCAATTCTCTAAAACACGGCATCAAAGACAAAGACACAATAATCTATGTTAAATTTGAAACAAGACAAGACATTATTATAATGATTCTTGATGCACTTACACAACTCTAGACATTATTATAACGTTTTGAAATCAATCACACAACTTTTAGTTTTCACGTTCATGCTTGTATAAAAATTATAGTGGATATTAAAAATCATTTTATATCATATCAGAATTTTATTAAGTGTGCCAGATACTCTCACATACATCAATACTCCGTTTTTCATAAATTTAACAAGTATAAGGCTTTAACAGATCCAGAATTGTATATATTACTCCTCATACGAACCAAAATGGGAAGCTATTCAAAGTCAAACTGAATAAAATACAGCATTTTAAGAGAGGCGGAGAGCAATTCCTTGAAAACAACCCACTAACATACACACCTCGGCGACCTCGCAATAAAGTGGGTCTCAAAGAAAACCAAACAAATTCGTAATAACAATGAATTTCCAACCTCTAATCTAAATTTCACACACACCGACCTAGCAAAACAAACAGAATACATGAAGTCATGAACCCAGAAAAGAGAATACTTCAACCCGAAATCCCAATCACAATCAAAAACAGAAAACAGGCAAAAAACAACACTAACTCATAAACTAATTGAGACACAAAATCCAAAACTGAATCGTCGAAGTCGAAGTATAATGAAAATCGGAGATTGCAAAAAAAAAAAAATAAACAGAAGAAAAAGGGTTTAAAATCACCTGCGATTGGATTCTAGAAAAAGATGAATGAGGAGAACAACGAGATAATGCTTCCAGATTGTCGAATTTGAGTTTTAATCAACTTTTGATGAAGAAGGAAGTGGAATCGGCGACGTCGCGGAGATATCGGGAGAATATTTCAAAAAATCTGTAACTATGTAAATGTATATACTATATACTATAACTATATTATATGTATGATATACATTCTTTCGGGTCGCAAAATGGTTCTCGGGTCTGACCCGGACCGAACCAAGAACCGAAAAAAAATTAAATCAAAACCATTTGGGTTTAACAGTAGAACCAAAATCAACCCGAATTCTGTTTTCCGGGTCGGGTTGGGTCGGGTTTGTCGGGTTCGGTTTTAATGCCCAGGCCTAATGCACATAAGTGAAGACAATATCAATGATCCATAACAAATTCTAGACAATGATGCATAACAAATCTAAACGATGATGCACATAAGTGAAGACAATATTAATGATCTATAATAAACTCTACACAATGATGCATAACAAATCTAAACATGAAATGCATAAGAAACTTAAAACAATGGCTTTCTATTTGCATAAGAAATCCACTCTTCAACTAGATAACACTTCAACTTTAACACAAACTATCGGTTATACACTCTTCAACTAGTTACCACTTCCCTAAACTCATCAAATAAGAAAAAACTTTAACTCATACTACCAACACATCAGTACCTTAACGAATTCACAAAGTCAACAAAGCAAAATACAAAAACAAGAACATCTCAAAAAATCCCCAAAATCGGAAACTAGACAGAGTTAATATATGAGATTTCCATATAGTTAGAAAGTAAACCAGAATTCATCTAACACATACAGGTATTACATGTAAAACCCCTCAAATCAATCAACCTCGTCAACCCAAAAATGTTTCCATTTACGAAACCTTAATCTGATTTCCATAACCGAATTCGATATGTTACAATACGTTAACAACTAATAATCAAAACAATTGAATCAAACGCAGACTCAGATGCTTTGAAAAACCCCTAAAATCAAACTGTCCTAAAAACTAGAAATTTCCCCCAAACTCGAAACCCTAATTCTTTCGAAATCAACAAAATAAAGATGAAATTATGAGCTACGATAAGATCGCGTACCTTGCTAACCAACCGGAGAAGTTTCTCGTGATTATCGGCTCCAGTGACGGCGATTCGATTCGGCGATTGCAGTTGGCGATCTTGTCTCGGTTGGTGAAGAGAAGAAAAATGTCAAGGGTTTTGTCCTTGTGTCGAGAAATGCCCCGAAAAAAATTTGTTCCCACATTTCCTCAAAGCCGAATCATAAGCTGCCACGTATCCAATGATATTCGCTTGTTACGGGTTCATAAGTATCACTGGGAAGATACCATATGAATGGATTTGGGCATTTTTTGTTAATTTTAAACCCAAAAAATAACGCCGATCCCACCTAAGAGACTCCACTCATTCTGCGATGGAGATGCCCTAAGGTCTGTACATATGAATATATATATATATATATATATTTGGTTCAGCTAAAGGAGACTAAACCGAAATCTAATTTATGTAAACTGGAGATAACCAACTATCTCTAATAAAGCAATGAAAAAAAAACAGAGAGGAAGAAGGTGAAGCAGAGCACAAAAACATGTTGAGATCCATTATTCCTCATGAAAATTTCTGCTAGTTTCTTCTTCAACAAGTCACTTGCTCATCATCTTTTTGATTTCTTTCAACTCGGCCATTTGAGCCCTAGACGACTGAAACATGAAAACATATACAGATCAACCCTAACTGTTCCCAATTTTTACCTACTTGGGCACTAGATGCACCACCATTACTTGTTTTTTACCTGAAGTAGATCGTCAACCTTCTTTTCCACTTTTTTAAGCCTAGCAAT